AATAACTGTGTAACTAATCTTTATTAACTTATTTTTATTTGAGAAATCATCTTCAATCTTTATGTAAAATTAAAATAATCAAAATTAATTTTCCTGTTTATAGTTAGTAAAACGAATGAACTATCTTATAAGAGGTTAAAGTTTAAAAAAAAAAGAAATATATATTATATATAATTATATACTATAAATTAATTTCTTGCAAATCAAATAGTGGAAAGTATTTTAAGATCAATTTTATTTTTTTAAATATATATGTATAATTTTAAATATAATAATTAATTTATTTGAGCATTCTGTATTCATCTATTTGCTTACTTACATACATTATAAATAAAGTTTTAAAAAAAAATTCCATTCAAATTCATAAAAAAGTAAATTTTCAATAAATTTATCCGTTATATGTGTTTATGTTGTCAGCTGTTCTTAAATAATAGTCATAGTAATGCATTTTAATTACTATTAAATATTATAAAATTATATACATAGATGTCATTTCAAAAATTCATTTCACTCATTTTTTTATGAATATATATATATATATATATATATGAATATTTATGAATTCTATAAATATTTTTCTACTACATTGCAATAAATTTTCCGTCTTTACGCTCGATTAAATCACTTCTCTATCGGCATTGTCCGGTAATAAAACTTTCTCGAATGTAACAACCGCTAATGCAATGAACATCCTTATTTGCTTTCCGCACGTTTGACGCTCCGACATCGTTGACTAAGAGGTGTTTATGAATTTATTTATCGTTTATTTATCGTATTCGCCTTACAAGGGCTACTATTCCAGGTGATTTCCGTAGTCACATGTTTTTTTTTTTTTTGCGAGGAAATGTTCTCTTCTTTTCTAACGAATATTAATTTTGTTTCATTGATAGAAATGAAATTGACTTGAGGATTCTCTTTAGAAACGCAGAAAGTTTATTTATATAATTCATTTTATAATCTATAGCCAGATTCTTAAGATATAAATCATCGAATTCAATCAAAAAAATAGTTTTTGAGATTTGTTATTTTTATTTGCAATATGAAAAATTTTATAATAAATTTTTTTAACTTATTTATTTTTAATAAAAATACAAAATATAATGAATAGAAATAACTTATGATTATTAGACATTATAAAATGTTAATCATTTCTAATTTTATCTTTATTATGATAGATTTTTGATATTTTTCATTATTTTCTACTGAATATAGTTTATTTCCAAAAATAAAATAATTCATTTAATTTGTCTTATTAAAAATGCATTTTTATATAATTATAAAGAAAAAAAAAAGTCGCAAGTTATTTGCCTAAAAGAGATAATTTTTCAAAAAAAGATTGAGAATCATTGATTCATATGAGATACTTTTATTAAATTGTATTTAATAGATAAAAAATTTTATATATTTAATAGTAATCATAATTTATATTTTGAATTATTATTTAGTCATTTGTTAACAATTTACTTTATTCTATTTAATTATTTAGTAATCATTTAATATTTACATCATTCTAATTTGAACAATGAAGATTATTTTTTTGATTTAATTTAATATTAGTATTATTCATAAAAAAAACTTTTGATTTTTTGTATAATTTTCATAATTTATCTCATCATTAAAATATACAACTGAAAATAGACAAATAGATAATATAATAGATAATATTTAAAAATTAATTTTATAAAAAATTAAAAATTTCTTATAAAAAAGTTTTCCTCTTATTCTTCAAACTATTTCTAAAAATAATGTATTGAAATAAATATTCCATATTTAAATTACATATAAAAATTAAAGTGATATTATATAAATATATTTCTATTTCAATAAAAGACAATTATAATTATTAAAAAAAAATCTAAAAAATCTAAAAATCTAAAAAAAATTCATCATTTTGATTTATATTAATAATTTTTTTAGAATATTGAATCACATAAATTAATTAAAACATACATGTTTGAACATAACTTGAATTGATCCAAATTATCAAATAAATTAAAAACTATTAATCCGTTAATTTTCATTAAAAAATTTATATTAACAAATCTTATCTTATAAAAATCTTACAAAAATATTTATCTTATTTTGAATAAATGTCATGAATATGAAGAATTTAGCTTCATTTTATTTTGTGCAAGATAATAAATCTTTTAAGTATATTTATGTATTCGATATGAAAAGAGAATGATAAATGTGTTTTTGTGTAAAAATTTAGGTTAAATTGACTTAGGTTAAAATAAATGGAAGGAATATTCAAAGATTAAAGACATATTGAACTCAGACTGCGTTCACATTGTGATGTAAATTTTGTTAAATTATATTGATACAAATACTCAGACAATTCAAGCCTAATTGAGACTAAAGAGATACTAAATAGAAATTTAGAAATGCAAAGAATATATAAGGATAAATTTATCCATAAAAATAAATTTCTTTAGCAATTGAAAAAATATTAATGGATTGAAATGATGCAATTGCAATGAAATAGCGATTAAAGTAATTTAAGTGATTATTAAAAATCATTAAAGAACAATATCTATATAAAAATTTAAGTAAATATAATGAAAAAAATTTGATTTTTAATTTTCTTGCACAAAATCTAACATATTTAGTTTATTTATACTTCTTTATTGATACTCTAATGATAATTGATGCTTTAATAAATGATTTTTGTTCATAAGGATCATTCATCTTACATATAATGAAATTTAATCAACGATTTAAAAAACTTAATTATTCGAAAAATACCAAAGACCTTTATCATGACTTCAGGGCGAAAGCAAACGCGTCATTGTCAGTGGTCGTAATGACAGAGCGGCGTCAGCGCATCAAATCGAAATTATCGTTAGTAAACTGGTCCACTACTTTCGCGCATTAGCCGCATTTTCTATTTGCAGGAAAATTTCTGTTCGTTATTTGTAGTTCCTGTATGAGAGAACTGTCATCGTTCAGTTAACTAACGCACACCATTTTTCTACCTGGGACCGAGTTTCTTATCTTGCTTAATTAATCATCGATTGCGATTTCTTCTATTTGCATTTATAGTAGAGATAGGATATAGAAATTGATTCGTGTATATAGATGATTTTCAACTCTTTTAATATTTTTAATCTAATTGTAAATGCGTATGTTATTTTAAATGAAATATTTATGTAAATAGTTAAAATAATTAAGAACTTGTGTATATTCATAATATTTGAATAAATTTAATCAAAATATATAAAAAATTATTTAATAATTAGAATCAGCGAATCGTAAATTGAAATTATTTGTTATAATTTAATATATAATTCCTCGATTTTTCATATATCATTAGATTATTGTAAATTAAATTACAAATGATGAGATGATAATTAAAATTATATAATTTTATAAAATAAGTTTATGTTTCGAATTAATCTAGAAGTCTATACAAGATTGGAGTAAGTATGAAAATCATATTTAATAAAAAAAAAAGAGAAAGAGAAAAAGAAAGAAAGCTATAGATAATGCTCTCATCAAGATTCTCAAAATATTATTCTAATATACATAATATCATTTACATTTAAAATTCGATGTTTTTCCTTGATCATAAATGTAAATTTTTATTCCGAAATAGGATGTTCTTATTTATACTAGTTGTACGTATATTAATTTTTTCTTCTTAAATACTTAATTGTGAAATATAAGTAAATATTAATTAGTTAAACTCTACTGTGTCCGAGTATTAATAATTTCAAAAAAATAAAAACCTCAATAGTAAACAACAATACAATATTTCCAATCTTTTTAAGTTACGACTTTCTTTTATAATATTCAATTAACTTGCAACTCTTTTCTAACATGAGTAAAGAAAATAATAAAAATTAATATTGTTTTATCGTCACAAAATAATTGCTTTTGAATAAATAAACGTGGAAAGTTATTAATTAGAAATAACAATAGCTATACCTATAAAAGAATTCACAATTCGTATAGTCGCAATGCAGAGATAGGATTGTAATAGGATTGACTAATTGATAATACTTATATCATTGTTCTATTATTTATTCCGAAATCATTTATTTTATAACTAATAATCTAATTATAACTAATGATCTAATTCTTTCTTTAAAAATGAATCAAGATCTAACTTTCATACTTACTTTTTTTACATTAAATTAGATCAGCTATAATAGGAATACTCATTATATATATATATATATATATATAGTATATTCATTCAGATATTCCAAAATATTCATTCATCGTTAATTTATAATAATTTTAATTTATAATAGTTATAATAGTTTATAATAGTTTATAATAGTTTTTTGAAAAAGTAAATTAAAATCCAACTTTAATTATTATTATTAATTATAATTATTTTTTATTTATTTTAATTATTTTTATACTTCCTCTATATTAGAGTGTAATGACTTAAAAACAAAAAAAAAAAAAATAAACACAATTAAGTTGTAATAATTTCCACCATAATAATTCTTTCAAAATCGAATATGGGACACTTAGATTCCTCATCTGCAGTATTATCTGTCTCCAATTAATTTTAATTTTATCCTCTATTTGCTTTGTTTATCTACTACAAGTATTTTTTCTATAATGATCTCTATATAAATGGCGTGTGTAAATTACACGGAGCTGAGAAGACTATGTCGAGAGGAATAAGAAACGATAACGATTTCGAGAATTAACAGGGATTTAGCTCGAGCAATCGTTTCTCGATTCTCACCATGCCAGATCGATCTCTCTTTCTTTCAGTGTTCAGTTTCAGTTATCGTTTCATATATCAGTCAAGCAAGGACGAGGATAGATCCAACGATTATTCGTTCGCTAACCAGTCTCAGATCTCTCCCGATCCTCGAAGAGGAGTGACGAATCGATTTCATTATCGTTGGAAAGCGAGATCATACATCTTTCCTTGATACCTTTTTCGCAAGGCCCTGTAGACCGAGACTAGTGATACGGATATTCAGGAATATCATTCATCAAGTCGAGTAATCTCGTTTCTGTCCTGTTTGTTACAGATTTCCTATACCGGCACAGCGTTACCATCGATAATGTTAGTACCGAAGTCGAGATACTGGACACTTCCAGGTGCGAGGTAAGTTCTTTAAATGATCGAGAAGAAAAATTTGGAAAAGAGTTTGATGTTTTTTTTCTTTTTTTGTTTTTTTATTTATTGAAGAATTTAGTGAATTTAGAACAATATGAAAAGTGGAATAGAAGTTAATTGTTAAATTATGAGATCGGAGAGGATTTTATAAGAAGTAATGAAGCAATTAACTTCTTATATTATGAGATTGCAAGTTATGAAATAATGAAGTTAAATTATATATTCTGATTAAAGAGAATATAACAAATTATGAAGTTAATTTTTTAAATTACTTTGAGCTTTGAGAAAATATTACGAGAGATAATTTTTAAATTCGATATTTTTAAAATATTTTTATTTATTTTAAGAGTTTAGCATGGAGAAAAATATTATAAGAAATATTAATTGATTTTTAGATTATAGAAATTGAATACATATGACGAAAAGAAGTGAAATTGATTTTTGAATTATTTTGACTAATTAAGATTTTTAAAGAAATAATAAGTTATAAAATTGAAATTTATAAAAAACAACTCATTATTTTGTCTTCTTCAATCTCAGTTTAAAAATCAATATTATTTCTTAACATTTTGTTCTACATTTTTTAAATAAATAAAATTTGAAAAAAGAAATTATAAGTTTGGAAAGAATATTATGAAAAATAATAATTTTAGTTAAAATTTTCAGTTTTTAAAATTGAAAAATTTTTAAACAGTTGATTATAAAAAATATTAAATTTAAAATATTTTATAATTTAAATTTAAAATATTATATAATATATTTTTTTAATATCATATTATAAAAAATGTATATATTTTATTATATATTATATTTTATTCCTAGTGGTCACAAATCTTTAATTAAATCATTATTCATTGTCACTTTTGCAATGGAAAAAGACAGAAAATTAACATATATCTATATAGCTATTATCCACGCGTAATCTTTCTTTGACATGTAAAACAAAAGCAATAATAATATTTCCGTATCTCTACAGTATATTTTCTAACTTTAGATATATCATAACGTTTAACGAATGAAATTCTTCGTAACACTAATCGCAAATTATCATTCAAAATTTTTTCTCTCTATGTTCATTAAGGAAAAGGAGTGCCTAATGATCCCAAGGGATTATTGATGGATACATGACATAGATTGGCATTAAAATCTCACTCGGACGAGAGCAGTGAAAATATACATTTACATGTTTATTAGACAGACTGATTTGCCTGCTTGAGTTATGCCTAATCTCATGATTAGTTGTAAATTATTATACGGTTACAACAGGATCGTTGATCTTTAATTTCCGTTTTACTCTACTTTCCGTCAGGAATTGACAGATTTTACGATTGGTTCGTAAAATCAGTTATATTTTTATGAGAATTTTATATTTTATATTACTAAATCTTTCATCGGTGTCAGTATTATATTTCTCATTGATAATTATTACGATCGAAATAAAATTCCTAGTAGATTGCGAATTATTAGTATTTTGTCTTTTTTATATTCCATATATTTTACATAAACGATATAAATGAATGTGCTATAAGTATATTTCTTTTTTTTATATTAATTTTATTTATATAATATTCGAATATTATAAAATTTCTCGTTATAATATTAAAAGTTGAAAAAATTCTAAATAATTTATATATTATATAAAAATATTAGAAAAATATTCAATATATTGATTTTGGAATAATAAAAATATATAACGTTTGTGAAATAATTTCTTTTTCAACTCAATATTTTCAAATAAATTTACCATAAAATCATGAGAAAAGCTTTATATAATATTATATATTTTATATATATAATATTTTATATATTATATATTTATATAAGTAAATATAATAAAATTTTTTAAATTATTAAAAATTGCTAAATTGCAAATACTATAGTTTGACATATTTTAATATATATTTTTATATAATTAATAATTTATTTGAATATTTGAATTTATTTAGCTGCAGTCTATAATTTTAAAAATTTGCAGTCTATAATTAGTTATTTATAGTGTCTTATTTGAATAAAATTTTAAATAAAGACAATGAAGACTCCGAGTAAATAAATGATTTAGAAATAAAAATTCTATAATTGAATCAATCAGTCAAAGAAAATAAGATCATCTATATCTATTTTATATTTATTTTTATATCTATTTTATAAAATTGTAATTAATTGTAATAATAAATTGTTATTACAAGAAATAATTATTTTGTTTTATATGAAATTTTATAAATAAATATATAGTATATAATATATAAAGCAATTTTTTATTAATGGATTATTTTCGAAAAGATAAAATCAATTCTTGAAATCTCAATATTTTTTTTATGATTTATAATAATAATAATAATAATAATAATAATAATAATAATAATAATAATAATAATAATAATAATAATAATAATATTAAATTAATATTAAAACAAAAACAAAATTAATAAATATAATATTATTTATGCTATTTTTTTTATTTAATTTTATAATTTTAATTTATATTAAAATTAATATAAAATAATAGTGACTAATATTAAGAAATATTCCTTTTATTTATTTTTATTTTAACTATACAATAAAAACAAATTAAAAACTAAAAATAAAAAAATCATTATCATTTTTAAAACAATTTCTTGTTTACTAAAATGTTAATTATTGTTAATAATATCATCATCAATTTTTGGTTATTATACAGATTTAATACTTATACTTTATAAAGATTAAAATTTCACAAAAATTTCTGGATACATTTACAATTTCATTCATGAAATTACCGAAAATATATGTACATAAATAAAATATTTAATATAAAAGTTTCTATTTTAATAACTCCACTAGACATTATTTATCTTATAATGCTATGTTTACTTCATCATATTATATAACTTATGACAATTTTTCATTTTTTAAAACGTTTTGAATTATTCTTCATATTAGGAAGAAAATTAATTTATATTAATTTATGAAGATCAAAGGTTTTTCTGTATATTCTTATTATGTAATGTCATTCTCGAGTCTAAAATTCCATTGAATATATTTATAAAATATCTTATTTCAATTATATTCAACAATCCCTATTTGCTTCAAACGCTATCTACAATAGAACCATCAAACAATACTCAGCCCTCACAATGTAATTTTCTAATAATTTAATGATTCATGCACAGTTTTTAAATCGGGCTTGATTCGCGAACCGCGATGACAATAATTTACAATCTTGAGAACAATGGCCCTTCTCTTAAATCTCTTTTAACAAAAAAAGATCTGATGCGGTGGAATCTCAATGAAAATTCCGCTCTATCTGCGACAGGTGAACATGCCGTTCCATGGACGTGGTCGGAATTACTCGACTTTTCCATTGGTACATACGTTAACCATACATATGGCCTATGTACTTTCGCGCGCGCCAACTTGTATAGACGGAATCGCCTAGATTCGAATTTAAAGGCGATCGTTATTCAATTCAAATACTAAAGCTAACGGGCCTTGTCGTAGGATTTCCGCTTCGATGTGTTTCGCGTGCGGGTTTGTTACTGTATTCTAGAAGAAGAATCGGGTTAAGAAAGGTCAGGTCTGGGATCCGATCGACCTGAAACTGTGGCCGATTCCGTCGAAATTTGGGTTAAGTAAGGTCAGGTCGATTCAAACGAACAGACGAATCCGATCGAAAAGATTATATTGTCGATGATATTTAGAACATTGCCGGTCATCTCTTTTTTGAATCTTGTCAGCATTTTGGTATGTCAAATCGGATGTTTCAAAACTGTTGGAAATGGTTTTGTTTTGCTTTTGCTTTTTTTTTTCTTTTTACATAGTTCTTTTTGTTGCAAACATTTGGAAAAGAAATGTATACTGTTTCGATTGCTAGGCCATCAAACTTTCTTTGTGTATTTTTTTTTGAATACTGATATAATAAAGTTTATTTTTTCTTTATATATATTTTTTTCTCCGATTAATCATTGAATTTTTATTTATTAATTTCTAGATAAATGATTTGATTGAAATTTAAAAATGATGTAATCTTTTTTTTATATTTATTTATTTTTTACTTGAAAATTATTGATGTAATATGATTTTTTTCTAGCATTTATTTATTTTCGTTTCAATCGTTGAACTTTTTTTTTATGTTTTATGAAAAACTTGGTTTGAGGCAGATTAATAAGATTTATAACTTATTTTTTTGGTGATTTTCTTTTTTTTTTTAATTGACCATTGAAATTTTTATTATATCTTTTGTATTTTTTAGGAAATTGATTTGAAGGAATTTAATAAAATTTATAGTTTATTATTTTAATGATATAACAAAATTTTTTATATTTTTATATGTTTATTGATTATTAATTGATTTTATTTTATAAAAATGATCTAATATTGAAATAATGGATGTTTTGAAATTTTTACAAATTTTTTTTGATGTAATAATGAAAAGATTTTACTATTTTTTCAAGATATCAGTATGAGAAAAATTATATTTTATTTTGAAATTTCAAGTTAATAATATTTCTATATTCGCTAAAATTAGAAAATATAAATTAGAAAATATTTATTGTAAAAAAATTTTTGCTTTTTCATTATGATAAGTAAACTTTATTTTTCATAATATAAGATTCAAGCAAATAACATAACTAACATTGTTTTTGATGGTTTAATAACTATTATGAATATCTTTTTGCTTATTTTTCATTTCTCGATATATTTTTATCGATATAATTTTTATCGATATAATTTTTATCGATATAATTTTTATCGATAAAATTTTTCATCGAGGAATTATTTTCATATAAATATTTTAAACGAATATAGATACTAATAATTATAGTAGTAATAACGACTGGAAAAATATCTGTTCTTAATCTTAATCTTAAAAAGAATAATTATCGTCTTTTTCTCTAAATTATATAATTGTAAATTATAATAACGAAAACAAAGTTTAATAATATTGAAAATAAAGAAATTCTCAGTTATAATAATTATTCTCAGTTATTATAATAATAAATCACAAAGAG